GGATGGTCTCGATCTCCTGACCTCGTGATCCGCCCGTCTCGGCCTCCCAAAGTGCTGGGATTACAGGCTTGAGCCACCGCGCCCGGCCGAGATGACAGCTTTTTAAGTCAAATTTTCATCTCATCTATCTTTTGTTCATTTTGAGTCCCCAAATAAAACATTTCTGTACTTTAATTTCTTAATCACTACTGTCAGCTTGGTTGCTACACATTTAATTACAACATAAAGTTGACATTGAGGATGAAGAAACTTGAGTAATTATGCTTTTTCTTATTTCTATTTAACCAATAAGATTTTAATAGCAAATTAGAACAAGATTTTACCTCCTTAATAACTAATGGTTAGATAAAGTAGAATTTGTATCAAGTAACTCAGACTTCAGATTTCTGGATGTACCAGTTACTATGCTACTGAGGAGATACATCTAGATGATGAAGTTAAAATATTAATTATGACTCCAGTCATATGAAACCAAATTATTATGAGAAATTATTTCGCCAGGCACAGTGGCTCACATCTGTAATCTCAGCACTTGGGGAGGCCGAGGCGGGCGGATCACAAGGTCAGGAGTTCAAAATCAGCCTGACCAACATGGTGAAACCCCATCTCTACTAAAAATACAAAATTTAGCCAGGTGTGGTGGCACGCACCTATAATCCCAGCTACTTGGGAGGCTGAGGCAGGAAAATTGCTTGAACCGGGAGGCAGAGGTTGCGGTGAGCTAAGATCTCGCCACTGCACTCCAGCGCGGGTGACAGAGGGAGACTCTGTTTCAAAAAAAAAAAGAAATTATCTTATTTCAGTGTAGTAAAAAAAATAATTTTTCTTTAACATTCTTCATAAAATGTGATTGAGGCTATCAAATATCATAAAGCTTGGATGAGGGTGCAGGTAATTTTACAAAAAAAGTTGTATTTTGGCAAATATTTTATTATTATAAATGAAAATAAGAGTTTTTAAATGGCACTTAATCTGTTCTCTCTCTCAGAGTCTGCCAAATAAATCAGATTTCTTGGAAAAAATTCAAAGTTGATAAAATGGAGGCAAAATTAACTCTTGTCAGATAAGTCATTTGCCATAAATTGAAAGGACCCCTGACCGCATTAAGCAGAGGGACTGACGGTCAGTGGAGCTTCTCTGCTTGCAATTTATTCAGCAAAAGCGAACAATTGTTTACAAGTCTCTAACACAAAATTTAGTTCAAATATCAAAGGTCTGATCCATTTTCAAAGGCATTAGTTTTATTTTTAATAAGTTGACCTGGCCTTAGATGAAAGATATAGTTCTCTTCACATAGTTTACACATTATTTACAGAGAAATGAAAAATCCTGCTGCCTTTGTTATCACTTGTCATTTGGGAATTTCTTAGATAAAATAAAAGAACATGGAAAGATAATTTGACCTCTGACTTCCAGGAGAATGATCAGGCAACATCTAAAATTTACCAAAGAATGAGGAAAAAATTTTTTTCAAGTTGGAAGGTACCAGAGTGATTAGCTGGTCTAACCTACTCATTTTGCAGATGAGAAAACTGAGATACAGTCGTCTTGAGCTGCGGCAAATGACTCAACTCTTCCTTGTACTGTAATTAAACTGAGACTAACACCAAGTCTCTTGCTGTTGTTGCCAATTCTTTTCTCTGAACTGCACTTTGTACATCCTCCACCAAGCTTAAGAGTCATTACCTAAGGGGCAAGGGGTGGGAATCAGGAAGAAAAAACGATAATGGGTGGGGGTGGGGGAATGTGGGATAATGTTAGGAATGTTGTATTCAACAATGAACCATATGTATTAATAATTTCCTAAGAAAAATAATTTAAAAAAATCAAACCTTAACATCAGCAGAACCAAATTTCAAAGATCAGAAATACCAAAGTGAAACTGAATGTTAGTATTGAAATTTAAGTTACATTTTCAAAAAAAAGGTCAGCAAACCAATGAAAACTAGATTTCAGTTTCTGTCTCCTTTTAGTGACTAGTTCTATATATTATGTTTCTCTATACCTGGAAAAATGTTCTTAATATAATACACATGCAGTCTGAAGTAATTTCAGTTATCAAGTTTACGAAAGAATTGGGTTTTAAAAAATACTACAAAAATATGCACTTATATTTATTCCAAAATTATATATTTCTAACCTCTGCAGTGATATAAGGTCCAAATTTTCACTGTTAAACCGCCTTCTTGCATGGTGTTAAACAGTTATTTCTATAGAACAGCTATCATTTGCATAAATCTTTTTTTTTTTTTTTTGAGATGGAGTCTCACTCTGTCGCCCAGGCTGGAGTGCAGTGGCGTGATCTCGGCTCACTGCAAGCTCCACCTCCCGGGTTCACGCCATTCTCCTGCTTCAGCCTCTCAAGTAGCTGGAACTGCAGGCGCCCTCCACCATGCCTGGCTAATTTTTGGTATTTTTAGTAGAGAGGGGTTGACCTCGTGATCCACTTGCCTCGGTCTCCCAAAGTGCTGGGATTACAGGCGTGAGCCATCGCGCCTGGCCAATTTGCATAATTGTTTACAGTAAAACTCATTCAGAAATAGTAACTACTTTTATCTACCATCAGAGCTGAAAGAAACAGATTTCAGTAAAAAAAAGTATAGCGGTGGGTCAAGGCATTTTTTTTTAAGAAAAATATACTGTATATAGTATATATATCTCGGAAACTACACAGCCAGGTTTTATTTAATGTGAAGGCACAACTTTAACATTAAAAGCAAAGCGTTTTAGTTATTTATGATGTAACTGTCAGTACCAGCTCATAAAAATATATATTTGCAAGCATATCATTGACGACTCTTTCAGATTGTCAATTCAAAAGTCAATTTAAAAACTCCAAGTCTATTTGTAGAAAATCAATGACACATTATAGCAGCTCCACATATTATTGCTGGACAATCTGTTCACCAGTCAATGCAGGGTTTTCTTCATTTGTTGCATAATCCAGATGGTCCATCATCTAGGCATAAATAAAAGACATTAGGAAATGCAAAATTTCAACTTGCCCCCAATATTCACTACATTAGCAAAAGGATTCTGAGTTTTTCAAAAAAACACAGATTGCTCTATGAAACTGATCACTCCTTCAGGAGCACTGTTCTGGTTCAACATCCACACTTCTAAGGAGACAGGGTGACACTGAACCTCTAAGGAAGTCTAATCACGTGACTCAGAGCCCATTTGTGTTCTCCAGATCTTCCATTATCTCCATTTCCAAATATGAATACTGCCCTTCATGGCAGTGAGAACTCCAGAACAAAAGGAAGATATTCCTGACACTTATTCCAGGACACTATTCCAGGCAGTGTCCAATCATATAAGTGGGAAAACTAAAAATGGCCTCATGAGTCACTGTGATAATACCTGCTGGCTCTGGGACAGTGTGATATTATTGACACCTTGAAATAACCGTAAGATAATTCAAACTTTGGAAACATTATAATAATTTCTACAAAAAATGAACTTGAGGTCAAATGATATTTGAAAACAAAACCAAGAATACATTTGCTAGGCTGGGCGTGGCGGCTCACGCTTGTAATCCCAGCACTTTGAGAGGCTGAGATGGGCAGACCACAAGGTCAGGAGTTCAAGACCAGCCTGGCCAAGATGGTGAAACTCTGTCTCTAATAAAAATACAAAAATTAGCCGAGCGTGGTGGCAGGCGCCTGTAGTTCCAGCTACTTGGGAGGCTGAGGCAGGAGAATTGCTTGAACCCAGGAGGCGGAGGTTGCAGTCAGCCAAGATCGCACCACTGCGCTCTAACCTGGGCAACAGAGTGAGACTCTGTTAAAAAAAAAAAAAAATACATTTGCTATAGACTATTTTAAAGAAATTACTGGCCGGTCACAGTGGCTCACGCCTGTAATTCCAGCACTTTGGGAGGCCAAGGCGGGTGGAACACAAGATCAGGAGATCGAGACCATCCTGGCTAACACAGTGAAACCCTGTCTCTACTAAAAAATAAAAAAAATAAAAATTAGCTGGGCATGGTGGCAGGCGCCTGGAGTCCCAGCTACTCAGGAGGCTGAGGCAGGAGAATGGTGTGAACCCGGGAGGCAGAGCTTGCAGTGAGCCGAGATTGCACTACTGCACTGCACCCTGGGTGACACAGTGAGACTCCGTCCTCACCCCCCAAAAACAGAAATTACCAGTTAAACTTTTCTCAAATGATCACTTCAGCTCTGCCTATATTCTCATAAAAAATTGTCTTATATTTGGAAATGAAAGATGAAGAAACTGTTTAAATGCTTTCAGTGTTTCAACAATTTAGATACAATTACTAAAAACAGAAAAAAGTAATGCCTTTGTGAAGACTGTTAAAGACTTTTAGACTAGTGATTAAATTTTGGTATAGAGATGCACTTTTTTCCTTTCCTTCATCAAGAATTAGAAGAAGGAAAGATCAGCAAGATAAATGTTCCTATTTTTGAAAAGTGGTTCTGAAGGCTTTAGTGTTTTTTGGAAGAAGAACAAGAGGGTGGAATCATCTCCAAATAGGGTCTCTTGACTTACCAGGCAGAAAGAATACAACATGAGCTGAGGCTTTTGGCTGACAACTGTCTCAACTAATGGTGACAAGTTTACAAAATCAAAACCTAGGCTGGACGCGGTGGCTCACACCTGTAATCCCAGCACTTTGGGAGGTCGAGGCAGGGGGATCACGAGGTCAGGAGTTCGGGACCAGCCTGGCCAACATGGTAAAAACCTGTTTCTACTACAAATACAAAAATTAGCCAGGTGTGGTGGTGTGCCTGTAATCCCAATCCTACTTGAGAGGCTGAGGTGGGAGAATTACTTGAACCTGGGAGGCGGAGGCTTTGGTGAGCCAAGATCGTGCCACTGCACTCCAGCCTAGGCAATAGAGCAAAACTCCGTCTCAAAAATAAAATAAAATAAATCAAAAACCTGCTGATACTCTACAAGCCATTTCAAGACCCAAAACCATTTTGAGGTCTTCTAATTGCCAAAGATATCTCCTAGATTTAAGGTCACTAGTTTGCAGCAATTCTAGGGGAAAAAACAAAAGCCAAATCAAGACAGATAACATTTATTAAGCAGTTCACTACATGAAATGTAAGATGAAGATGTTGAACAGTTAATTTTAGTCAATTTAAATGAAGGGGGGAAAGGAAAAGTATGTAAGATATATTTAGGCCCCTTTTCTTCTAGGAATTTAAAAGTTCTGGGTCTAAGAGGTTAGGGCTGTGTAGAGAGAAAATTGAAGCAGCCTCAGCAGAATAGATGGTGGAGAAACCCTCTTTCTTCCCCAGGATCTGCTTACCCTGGCAACTGTAATCTAATGAAATGATAGCCCACATACCCTAAATTATAACATGCTTCCCTGGTGCCTTGTTAGCACAGTAGGTAGTGAGTCAGTCTCATCTAACTTGCCTCTTCTTTCCTAATCCCCAGGTACCTCACTGGCAATATATAATCTAATCCCTGAACACAGAAATATATTAATTTAAAAAACCACTTTCAAAGTCAACTTATTGAGAAGTAAGCATCTCTATTCCCTATTTACTGACTTTCCAATAAAAACAATACAGAAACATAAAGAACAAAGTTTTAAAAAATACAACAATAAATTAACATAAATAATACAACGAATTGACAAAATTGGCAAACATTTTCATCATATTTGGAAACAGGAAAGCTTGATTTGGAAAGATGGCCTCTGAAATCAGGTCAGCTAAGGTGGCATTTTCTGATAGCTCTGCTTGCTTATAATTGAACCAATCTCCAGAAATAGTCTAATAAAACACTCACTAAAGCAGGGTAACTGGAGACTTGCTGATACTAAAGCAGAGTTGTTCTAAGTTATCTCTGTATTCTGACTTGTCAGTTACAGCTTGTGACTTCTAAAAATAATGAGAAGTACTAGTGACATTTAACAGACACAACTCACTGTTTACTGGGTATCGACAAACCGAAAACTTACTACCTGCCCAGAGTAAAATAGCCCATTGGACATTGCTGCACATATTTAACTCCACTTATTTCATTATAGAAGCAAAAAATATCCCCTAAAACGATGACTCCTCTTCATTGTGCTATATGCCAAAGTAATCATGACTCTGCTTGATTTTTCTCTGCTGAGAAAAAAGTATCTTTATTTGCTTTATATTAATTAGAACTAAGACTTCACATAAAATCAAATAAGGGGGTCTGAGTACTGTAGTTCTTGAAGCATTCCACAAGAAAAGTTCATAGGAAATATACTGTAACTACTTTTGGGCTGTAGAAAATAATTTAAAATTAGTAATTAGTATTTCCAAATTAGTTATTTTTTTTTTCTTTTTTTTTGAGATGGAGATTCGCTCTTGTTGCCCAGGCTGGAGTGCAATGGCACGATCTCGGCTCACTGCAACCTCCGCCTCCCGGGTTCAAGCAATTCTCCTGCCTCAGCCTCCCTAGTAGCTGGGATTACAGGCACATACCACCACGCCGGATAATTTTTTGTATTTTCAGTAGGGATGGGATTTCACTATGTTGGCCAGGCTGGTCTTGAACTCCTGACTTTAAGCGATCCACCTGCCTCAGCCTCCCAAAGGGCTGGGATTACAGGCATGAGCCACTGCGCCCAGCCCAAAATAGTATTATTTCAGTGAAACCCTATAGAAATATTACTTCTTTTGAGAGAAACTCACAGGAAGGGCTAAAAGACTCAAAGTAAGATCCTGAAGTATTTCAATAAGGTCTCCAAGTTACAACAAGTGAGTTTTAACTTGCCCACTAAAAACAGCATGGAAAGACTGTCAGGGCTACCTGGACATTTAAAGAGTCTCCAATATTCTTGCACTCAACTCTATTATCAGGCATTCGAATGAACCAAATGACTAATAGTATAAACAAATTTGCCTTAGTCTTAGATTGTAACTTTATATTACTTGTTTTGTATTTGATTATTTCAAAACAGCAGCAAAAACTTGCAATATTTACAAAAAAAGATTGCATATAAAGACCATAGAGATACATGTCTAGTTTAATGTTTTAAAAGTGCCTCACTTTTATAGTGGCATATGACAATTACAGTCATTTTATAAGGGCTGCTGAAATACAACCAGGAAGCTTATACACACTTGCAAAAGTAACTAAAGGCCAGTGGATGAAGGATTGAGCATTAGAGGCACACTGCATGAAGACTTTCAATAACATTAGCTGAGAATTTACAGCATAAAAACTACTGTCATAAACATTGTGGATTCCTAATACATAAGAGCTAATACTTAGGGAGGGAGGCATATATAAATACCAGAACTGCAGGGCAGATGTTAATAAGTATTTAAAGTACAAAGTCTAAAAAAATACGGTGAAAGGTAAATGTGATTTTAATTGGAGTGCCTACTTCCTTCTAATTTCTTAGAGATCTACTTGGAGAAGGCAGAATTTAAGTTGGGAGTTAAACAGGGATATTCTAGAAATAGAAACTGACAAAGCTTAGGAGATGATGGAGGTTGGGAGAGAGAAGCAAATGATTATTATTACACTGTTAGTCTAAGAGATGAGCCAGAGCTGACCCTCAGGCCTATCTCACAGTGGACCCATATCAAGTCTCCCTCTGTCTCACCAGGCATGTAGAAGTTCCCCACTCTTATTTCTGAAGTCTCTGCCTAGCCTTAACAGATTTCAACATCCACCTGCCTCACACCAAGCCTTAAGCTAACCCACTACTATGGATTTCCTTCCCTCCCTGCCCTCCCTCCCTCCTTCCTTCCTTTTCTTTCTTTCTTTTTTTTTTCCCCGAGACGGAGTCTTGCTCTGTCACTCAAGTTGGAGTGCAGTGGTGCGATCTCGGCTCACTGCAACCTCTGTCTGCCTCCCAGGTTCAAGCAATTCTCCTGCCTCAGCCTCCTGAATAGCTGGGATTACAGGCGCCCGCCACCACACCTGTCTAATTTTTGTATTTTTAGTAGAGACAGGTGTTTCACCATGTTGGTGAGGCTGTCTCAAACTCCTGCCCTTGTGATCTGCCTGCCTTG